ACAGTGGTTTGGACATGTCCAGAGGAGGGACAGTGGTTTGGACATGTTTAGAGGAGGGACAGTGGGTATATTGGTAGAAGGATGTTTGAAATGCAGCTGCAGGAAAAAGACAAAGAGGAGATACATGGATGCAGTTAGAGAGGACACAGAGGACAGAGTGAAGACAGAGGACACAGAGGACAGAGTACGATGGAGGAGGAGGACCCCTTGTGGAGACCCCTGAAGAGGGAAAAGCTGAAGGAAAAAGAAGATCCAGTCATGAGCAACTGGCAGCTGTCAAATGTTGGTCACTTGTGAATAATCTCTGTAGAAAGACAGACGCCTGGAAAATGACCTTTAACCCCTCGTAGTTTGACATGCAGCAACAATTGTTTCTCTTCTTGGCATTTTAGCCATCAATGCATTTGATCAGCAGCACCTGACTGATTCTGAACCTCCTGAACCCTAAACAGACGCAGTAAGAAGGATGAACTGTTTGTTCTTAAATGTTATATGACACGGTGGAATGCGTTATAGACCAGATGTTGAATCACGTCGAACACATCAAAGTGACAGATTACGTAACACGTCGTCTCACTGTGCCGTAGAATACTCACAGACAGGATGTTGGTCAGGTAGCCCAGATCAAGGCCGTGCAGGAAAAGCTCAAGTTCATCAAGCCTGTTGGCAATGAAAGAGCACATCAGCACAGAAAACAGGACTTACATTTCTTTCCACAAGTATGAATTATTATAAAAGATAACAGGTTGGGACAGGTATAACCAACAAGAGTACCACATGGCACATTATACACCCGTCAAAAATTATACAGCAATCTGTGGCCCGGACTAGACTTGACCTTGATTTGTGACCTTGACCCCGGAGCTGGGGTGATGTAAAGTCCACGTGACACTCCTCTAGTGGCGACGCATATGTGTATAAAGTTTATTGAATTATACAGAGCAGATAAAAAAGTTATGTATGGGACAAGAGAAAGTTTACAGACGAACAAAGACTAGAAAATTATAAATCCACCTTCGACAAGTGAATTAAATATATTTAAGTGCCTGTTTTCCTTCCTCACTCGCTTTCGTGCAAGGCGGACGCTTTTACCTCCTCCTGCTGGTGCTGCTCTCCCGTCCTCCTGGTTTTTTGTTCTCCGTCTGTGTATCAGAGCTCCTATTACACATCTTCTGTAATTAAAACTCCAGTCATGGATCTGCTCAGCTGGACTCTTTTCAACAAAGCGACAGGGTTCTGGAGAGCCCTCATGCCCCACTGAGACTCACGCAGCAGGATACGTCATGGATTAGGAGCTGATGCATCTTTCCGTATTGTCTCAGGAGGACGTTGAAGACCTTTATATAATAAGAACCATGATAGCAGGGTTTCTGATTTTTTGGCATCGATAGATTCCTATGTTATCGACTATTAAGGAAGACGGCAGAAGCAGTTTGGACCACGGCAAAACTGCCAAGTCTGTGTGAAGGTTTGGTTTGTGCTGCGAGTACTCAAAATCAGCTGATTTACGGGCTAAACCGTAAGATGGAAGCAATTTGTGAGAATCACAGGCCACCTGTGGCTTCTAGGACTCGCCAGCATGTTGGGGACGACCTTGGAGGGGCTCGTAAGTACGGACCAGTGGAATGCCCACAAATCTGGCCATTTTGGATCGAAAGTACCAGCAGGGCTCAAGGATGACAAGAAAAAAACGGTCTGCCTGAAAAAGTCAACCATCGTGGCTTATCTGATTCTGATTCCCCCGATTGGCCTCGAAGCAGGCCAACTTATCACATTTCTCCTGGGATGTGTGTAAACTAAGGAAAAAGCTGTCTATCACAACCCCCCCCCCCCCCCAGAACTTCTGTGAATGCTTATCAAAAGCTGCACCGGCTGACACCAACATCTTATCAGGACTATGGTCTATCTGGAAGTGCTTCATGGACAAATCTCACCGTCTTGTTGTCACATGTATATGTAACGTGTCTATAAATAGTTTTTTGATGTTTTAAATCATGTCCTGATGAGACAAAGTGTGAAGAGATCTTTTTTGTAATACCACTGTCCTCTCCTCATGGCTTTTCCCCCTTTTCTATCTAAAAAGTATTCTGAAAAAAAAAGATAAGGGGCTGTGGTCTCAAGGAGCAGCAGCAACGTGCACGCCGCCCATCTTTCAGACGACTGTACGAACATATTCTCACTGTATTTCGGTGCAATGATAATAAAGTTTATTCTGATTCCCCTTGATTTTGTAAAAATGTGAAAATATATGTGGTTTGTTGCTGACATGGGAAACCTTTCCTGCTTGTTCCAGAGCAGTAACCCCACATGCCAGACAGATGAATACGTTTCTGTCTGATGACTGTGCAGCGCAGCTCGAGTCGACTAAACATTCGTGGAAGAAGTTTGTTGTTGTTTATGTTTGGTGTGACAGCGGACCAACACACAGGCCCAGGACTGAGAGTCCAACAGGGAGCAAACTGGCAACAGAGTAATGGAAGATGACTCTGGAAGTAAAAGATTGATGGAAATAAAAATATTCAATGCAGTTTACTTATATAGCTCCAAATCACAACAGAAGTAAATGGACTGTACTGATACAGCTCCTTTCTTTCTTATCAAGATGCTCAAAGTTCTTTACAACAATCTGTGCCTCATTTACCGGTTCATACAGCTAGAGCTCAACAAAGACTAATCAGAGCTTTAGATCACATTCATACACTGATGGGACACACATCGGAGGCAGTGAGAGGTTCAGAGTCTTGCCCAGGGACACTTCAGGATGTGACTGCTGGTGGAATCGAACCTGCAACCCTTGCATTGGAGGACGACTGCTCTAATCTCTCAGCCACAGCTGCTACAAAGTAGTCTCAGGGCACTGTACAGAAACATTCACATACAAATAACTTCAATTAACTTTTTTAATCTAAGGAGCCAGCACACTGCTTAGAGTTTTCACTTCATCGCTGTAAGCAAGCACAGAGGCAACAGTGGAGAGGAAAAACCCCTCATGAGGAAGAAACCACCAGCAGAACCAGGCTCAGAAAACGGTGCATCATCAGCAAAACACACATGTTAAGAAGTAGCAGAATTTACTGTGAAAAGAATGAATGAACATGAAGTGAATGCAGACAGGAGTTAAAGGCGACTCTTTAAATCCACGTCTGAAACGGTCCAGTCATGGACTCTGCAGTGATGACCACGCTGCCAGATAGAAGTATAACAACCAGCTCCAGCTCACAAGGTTAACGTGTATTCACATGTGCGTCAACTACCTTGAAATTTTGATGTGGAAACTGAATTTTCAAGAGGAACCTTTCTTACACCTACAAGCAGCCACACACCAAAAATGGAAGTTGGTGCCAGACGTATTTTCCAAGTCATCACGCTCACAACATGCATGGATGAAGGGGATTTCCAATTCCCCCCTCTTTGCTCCGCGACGGGGACAACTTGAGGTCTCTTGTTGGTGGTTGTTTGTGTTTCCTCTGGGGTTTAGAGGCGTGTGGTGCTTTGTCTGTTTTCACCATAAACACAACGTGTTAAACTGGTGGCAGGGGCGGTTCTAGGATCTGACCTTTAGGGGTGCTTAGCCCCCAGTGCTGACAATGGCTCGTCTTGAACAACGCACCACCTGGTGAGGTTTGTGAGAAGTGCAAAAGTTTACAGCACCTGGTATTCCCAGGTGGTCTCCCATCCAGGTACTAACCAGGCCTGACCCTGCTCAGAGACCAGATGAGATGGGGTGTGTTCAGGGTGGTACGGCCGTAAACCAGGAGCTCAGTCACAAAAACACATTTTAAAGATCATAGCAAACAAAGACTAAAGTTATTTAACCAAAAGTCACAACATAAATCTACACACAAAACAAAGCACAACAAGCTTGAAGCATTAACCTTTAAACATTCATGTAATTATGACAGAAACTGGAGGATTTACCTGCAGTTACCTTCGTGCAGATGAACCTGTGTACTTCCTGTTTATCACTGTTTTCAGCTGATCATGAGGTCGGCTGCAGGGCTTTACCTTTTACATTTTTCCACACTTTATTTTATTAACTTTTATTTACCAGGCAAATCCCACTGAGACCACAGGTCTCTTTTGCAAGGGAGGCCTGGGCCTGAAGGCAGACTAACATGCAGGTTTCTGGTCTGTTCAGATCTTGAAATGGAATAAACTGTATTCCACCCTCTAATCTCTCAGAGTAACTGTCTGGATTACATGTTCTCCACTGACCACCTTTAACCCTTTTCCTGATGATTTTTCACAGAATCCCTCTGACTGCAAAGTGTTTATGACGCAAAATCCAGACAATGTTGTCAGAGGAAAAGGGGGTGGAGCTCCTGCAGGTAAGGGGAGTTTACCTTTGGGACAAATTGAAATTGCTGATTGGTCAGTTGCTGACAATCCTGCTGGATTGATCGACAGGCGGCGTTGAGGATCTGACTTGTGCAAAACAAAACAACAAAAAAATCAGATTTTCATGGCCCGTTTGAGTGTCGTCATTTATTCCATATTTATTCCAAATGTATTCAATATTTTGGTGAATCTAAGGTTTGAGAGCTTCCTTTCAAAATCCCAATGATAGTTTGTTTTTCAGGGGTGCAGAGTTAAAATTAGGGGTGTTTGAGCACCCCCAAAAAGAGGCTAAAATCACCACTGGCTGGTGGCGACTTGGTTCTGAATAATTACTTTGCAGTTTTTATTTTAGTTACTTTTTTTGAGAATAATTCCTTTACTTCAGTTTTACTGATTAAACTTCCATGCTTTGGCTTCATGTTCAGTTAACTTGTTAATAAAATGATGTTAGTTTTGGATCCAAGCACTTTTTGTACTGGTCCATTTTCATCTTTAAATCACTTCTAGGCATTTTATACACTTTTTTATGATTGTCTGCTGTTGTCATCATTCTCTGTTACATCAGGTGTCTCTTGTAAACGAGTCCTCGAGGCTCAATGAGACTAACCTGTAGAAATAAAGGTTGAGGAAAAAAAAAAAAGTCTACTTTCTACCCACCAAACCCACAGAAACTTGGATGATGCGACTGGAAGTAAAAAAAACTCCAGTTGCGTCTCATCAGTCCCAGAAAATGTTGACTCTTGCGTTTTGGTCAGTTGCAGTCAGTTTTTTGTGTTTCTGTCCCAAGTGACAGAAACACATGGACATGAGCTAATGGTACAAAGTACTTGTGATTTTGTGTTTGTCTTGCCTCTTCGTAGAGGATGGGTATTCAGAGTTCGTCTTGAAGAATGTAGACGGGCTCTCGTCCACAGAAGTGACGGCCTGAGCAGCAGAAAGGTGGGATGAAGTCAAAATGTGCGCGATCTGTGGACAGTAAAATGAGAGGAAGGACACGGATGATTCTGACAGTACAGAAACTATTACAACTGTACTCCACCAGACTAACTTTAACGCATATTGAAAAGCTATCAGAGCTTTCAGGTAGTACCAGTTACCTGCGTGTGCCCGAAGATCTCAGCCAGATCAGCAGGACTTTTGCCGCTCGTTGTTCTTATGGATTTGTCTGCCCCCAGCTGAAGGAGCTTCAACACCGCCTCCTCTCTGCTGTACTGAACTGCTACGGACAACGCCTGACAAAGACATCCGTATCAACAACGAAGAACATCCAAACAGAAACAATGCAAAATAAAGAAAAGTGGACAAACTGTGTATCCCATCTTGTTCTGCTTGTTGAGTTTGGCACCGTGGGACACCAGCAGGTTTATGATCTTACAGTAGCCGTCCCTGGCTGCCAACATCAAGCAGGTCATCTGAGAGCTGACAGCACACATTAAAAACAACGTCAATGACATGAAAGACTGAGAAAATACTACAGATGACACCTCCCTCACTGAAAAAAGGTGGAAAAAGACAATGTCACCAAGTTATTAAAAAACTCAAAGAGAACTCAAAGCACTTTGATAAAGTTTAAACTAGAAAATTTGATTAAAAAAATGTTCAAAACAATGAGAACAAAGAAGAGAGGGACCACAAGAGGGCGGCAGACAACACAAAGTCAACTTCAAGATTCAATCTTAATCTGGGGGGAGACTTAAACTGAGAACGAGTGTTAGTTCACATTTAGGAATAATGTCAAAATATAATTTTAAGAACAGAATACTGAGAACATATGAACAACAATGATAATAAATGAGTCAGCATGGAATGGCTAAATGTCTTGTACAATGAGTGACTTCAGAGTTTAAAGCAGATTTAAAAAAATAAAACTATGGAGAAACAGTAAGCCTGAGGCCACAGTTGATTTCAGACTGAGCAAACCCCCCCAACATAGGAGGACCTGCAGTGGAAGTTGCAGTTTTGTGCACAAAAAGTGCATTTCGAAAACTCCGCGCTGGACCTGCAGAAGTCAAATAAAACTTCAACAGCTCGTGCTTCAGAGTTTCGTCGTAGTTTTTAATTAAGATGTAAATTTTAAACTCCAAAGGCGTTTACTGCTCATGTTTATGGACTAAAATAAATAAAGTAAAATAAAAACCTCAGTCTGACATCAGAAACTTTCAGCAATGCAGACATGTTCCTGTTTTTAGTTTTCTACGTTCGCCTTATAATCGAGATGCTTGTTACTTTTTTGCATCTTATTTTAATTTGTAAAAAAAAAATAATCTGTATGCATCTTTTATAACTGTCCACTGTTGTCATTCTTTGTTAAATCAGGTCTCTCTTGTAAATGAGTCCTCGAGGCTCAATGGGATTTACCTGTAGAAATAAAGGTTGAAAAAAATAAAGTGGTCTCCAGCTACAAGTACTTGGGTGTGCACCTGAACAACAACCTCAGCTGGAGCAACAACACCACCAGCCTGATGAAGAAAGATCATCAGAGACTCTTCTTCCTCAGGCGGCTGAGGCGAGCTGGTCTGGAAGCTCAGTCCTCACCTCCTTCTACAGGTGTGCAGTGGAGAGCATCCTGTGCTCCAGCATCAATGTGTGGCATGGAGGCTGCACAGCTGCAGAAAGAAAAGCTTTGCAGAGAGTGGTGGAGGCTGCACAGAAGATGTTGGAGTCAGCCTCCCCACCATCACAGACATCTACACCTCCAGATGCAGGAAGAGGGCCACCTGCATCATGAAGGACCACACTCACCCAGCACACACACTTTCTGACCCACTCCCCTCAGGAAGGAGGTTGAGGAGCATTAAGTGTAGAACCACTAGACTGAGGAACAGCTTCTACCCTGAGGCTGTTAGACTCATGAATCTCTAACTAGAATAATCACTGTGATGTCACTTTAATTGGTGATATGCGTCTTATCCATGCTGCTGATTTCTTGCCCATATGCTCACTACAGACTCATGTTCAGGCTGCTGTTTAATACACCGTATTATACATTATAATTGTTTAGCATACATCTTAGATCCTTATATGGGCAGCTGTGGCTGAGAGGTTAGAGCAGTCGTCCTCCAATGCAAGAATTGGGGGTTCGAATCCACCAGCAGTCACATGCCGAAGTGTCCCTGGGCAAGACACTGAACCCCTCACTGCCTCTGATGTGTGTCCATCAGTGTATGAATGTGACAAAGCTCTGATTAGTCTCATTAGAATGATTTGTTCAATTAGCTTTATAGAGATCTAGTAGAGTGCTGTATGAATGTGTACATAAGGACACAGATTGTTCTAAAGAGCTTTGAGTATCTTAATCAGATAGAAAGGAGCTGTATACAGTGCCTTGTGAAAGTATTGGGCCCCCTTGAACTTTTCAACCTTTTGCCACATTTCAGTCTTCCAACATAAAGATATCAAATTTAAATTTTCTGTGAAGAATCAACAACAAGTGGGACACAATCATGAAGTGGAATGAAATTTATTGGATGTGTCAAACTTTATTAACAAATAAAAAACAAAGTGGGGCGTGCAGTATTATTGGGCCCCTTTACTTTCAGAGCAGCAAACTCAGTCCAGAAGTTCAGTGAGGATCTATGAATGATCCAACGTTGTCCCAAATGACTGATGATGATCAATAGAATCCACCTGTGTGTAATCAAGTCTCCGTATAAATGCACCTGCTCTGTGAGAGTCTCAGGGTTCTGTTCAAAGTGCAGAGAGCATCATGAAGACCAAGGAACACACCAGGCAGGTTTGAGATACTGTTGTGGAAAAGTTTAAAGCCGGATTTGGATACAAAAAGATTTCCCAAGCTGTAAACATCCCACACATTATTACATTATTATTATTAAACTTTCATCTGGAACATGAGAAGACTGATCAGAGATGCAGCCAAGAGGCCCATGATCACTCTGGATGAACTGCAGAGATCTACAGCTGAGGTGGGAGAGTCTGTCCATAGGACAACAATCAGTCGTACACTGCACAAATCTGGCCTTTATGGAAGAGTGGCAAGAAGAAAGACGTTTCTCAAAGATCTCCATAAAAAGTGTTGTTTAAAGTTTGTCACAAGCACCTGGGAGACACCAAACATGTGGAAGAAGGTGCTCTGGTCACATGAAACCAGAATCCAACTGTTTGGACACAATGCAACACGATATGTTTGGAGTAAAAGCAACACAGCTCATCACCCTGAACACACCATCCCCACTGTCAAACATGGTGGTGGCAGCATCATGGTTTGGGCCTGCTTTTCATCAGCAGGGACAGGGAAGATGGTCAGAATTGATGGAAGATGGATGGAGCCAAATACAGGACCATTCTGGAAGAAAACCAGTTTGAGTCTTCAAGAGACCTGAGACTGGGACAGAGATTTATCTTCCAACAAGACAATGATCCAAAACATAAAGACACATCTACAATGGAATGGTTCACAAATAAACGTATCCAGGTGTTGGAATGGCCAAGTCAAAGTCCAGACCTGAATCCAATCAAGAATCTGTGGAAAGAGCTGAAGACTGCTGTTCACAAACGCTCTCCATCCAACCTCACTGAGCTCCAGCTGTTCTGCAGGAAGAATGGGCAGAACTTCAGTGTCTCCATGTTCAAAACTGATGGAGACAAACCCCAAGAGACTTACAGCTGGAACTGCAGCTGGAACTGCAGCAAGAGGCGGAGCTACAAAGGATTAACGCAAGGGGGCCCAATAATACTGCACGCCCCACTTTTCAGTTTTTATTTGTTAAAAAAGTTTGACACATCCAATAAATTTAATTCCACTTCACGATTGTGTCCCACTTGTTGTTGATTCTTCACACAAAATTAAAATTTTATATCTTTATGTTTGAAGCCTGAAATGTGGCAAAAGGTTGAAAAATTCAAGGGGGACGAATACTTTCACAAGGCTCTGCAAGTACAGTCCATTTACCATTTATATACAGTTTCTTTTTATACTTTATATTTTTGGGTGCAACTGAGACCTTGTATACACAATTTCGTTCCACTTCATGTAGCACATGTGATGCCAATGACAAAGAACCTTGAACTTGAACAGTTAACATGTCCATTCTGGAAACTTCTTGCGTTTAGCCGGCAGTTTCCCAGAAACAACAAAAGTTGTAGACGTTTCAAACGTCGTGAAAGAAATTTGAAGTTAACACTCGTGTTGTTTGAGACTTTGTGAAGGACTAAATTAAGCTCTGCGAGTTTAGCTGTTGTAAGCGACGCAGCAGAAAATAAGACCACACCTTGAACAGGTCTGAGAAATTCCCCTTTTCTTTTTTGTAGTTTACTCACTAGAATGCATCAATCATTTCTTCTTCTTTCAGCTTCTTCAGGGGTTGCCACAGCAAACCAACTCTAATGAAGACTTGGCGATTGTTTTTATGCCAGATGTCCTTCCTAATGCAACCACAGACCACCGAGCTACCACCGCCCTCTGTGTGGAGCAGAGAGCTGCTATCTAGGGGGTCTGGGGGGAGCAGATGGTGGGTGTTAAGGGCCTTGCTCAAGGTCCCAGAGCAGGGCGAATGAGGGTGGAGGCAGGTGTGGGTGTTCCATCTTTTCCATGAACATCTTGATGTTGTCGGCACGGGGAATTGAACGAGCGACCTTTTGATCACAGACCTTCTAAACGCTCTGCGCTACCACTCCCCACTAGAATGCATCCATAACATATTCGTTCAACCTTTATTTATACAGGTTAATCCCACTGATCCTCAGGGACTCGTTTAAAAAGAGAGACCCGATTTTAACAAAAGTGATAAGACAAATATAAAAAAAAAAAAAGCATACAAACTGAGAATAATAAAAGAAAATGGTATTGAAAAAATTAAACAAAAACAGCTAGGTTGTGAACAGGAACATGTCGGCGTTGGTTTTTGCCATGTGGATATTGTACAAATCAGAGAAATGCATGTGGGTTCAGGAGCACAATGCAGTTCAGTCGTGAAATCCTTTATGAAATTTTTACTCTACATTCTAATTGCCATAATTGTGAAACTATCTCGAGTGAATTAGAAGTTATGGACTGGACAAACAAAGACCTTGTTTTAACTTTGATCTTGGGTGATGAAAAGTTATGCAACATTTCGTCTAGTATTGATTCAACGATTGTTTTTATCGTCAGCTCACATTTTTGTGTTTATGGTACGAAATTCAGACTCAGTTCCCAGATCAAAAAGCCAAACAATTAAATAAATACAAAAGAGTATATAAACATATATACATCTACATACATACATACATACATACATATACATATAACAAAGTAAAAAAAAAAGTAAGATGAAGCTGAATAAAGTGCAGCTTGAGTTCAGCAGTCTGACAGCTGCAGGGAAGAAACTGTTTCTGAGCCTGATGGTTCTTGTTCTGAATGCTCCTCATCCACCTGCTTGAGGGGAGGGGCTGAAACAGACTGTGTGCAGGATGAGCGGAGT